ATATATGGGCTTCATCAACTCCTTCTGAGCTGGAAAGAGTAGCTTCCCTGTATTACCTCCCCTACTCCCTTATCTGTTGTATATTCCACTTAGAAAAAAATGCCCAAAAGAGGTCCTGGCCATCAAACACTATTCTCTCAAAGAAGTCCACGTTACTCACATTGGTGAACAGTATATAGGAAAAGGCCAGCAGGAGCTCCGACTAAGGGTTAACATAGTAGTTTGCCTCCCATTCCTTTGACATTCTGATCAAAAGTGGATGGATTTGACTTTGTCTTTGTGTTATTAGGAAATTCTGATGAGCACTACTCACTGATGCAGAAAGACAGTCGTTTGCATAAAAGACTTCTTAACACTTCTTTGGGCTTTTCTCAAACATTTAGAAGTGCTAATTTCTGGCCCAGCCCCACTGGAATCCTCAAGTAAAAAATAAGAGGACCTCCTTACTTCTCTCCTTGAATGGCTTTAAGGGCACAAACTTTTTCAAAGTTCTCTAAGCAACACAGCATCAAGTGAGAGTGAGTCTCCTTTATCATAACTGTGGATTTAGTTTCATCATCTGCTTCTAATCACAGATTTGTTAACATAGATATTGGTTTAAATAATGCAGTATTCTAAGTATACTTTAAGACTGTGATTTACCTATACATATATGTATTTTATAAGGATACTAAACCAGCAGACCCTTATTCTGCCAAAGTAGTGAACCTTATTAAACTTGTGTAATTTTTGAATTGAACTAAATCCAAACTATTTACAGAATTTCCTAAAATCACAGGACATTAAGGACCAATAGCATCTGTGCCAGAGATTGACTGTTCTCAGTTGGAAAGACCAAGTCATAAAAGCAAACATCATTCTGACTTCTCATACCTCGGTTATTAGAAGGATGTCTCTCCTGAGCTAAATTGAGGGGAAGGGATCATTGTGTAGTCTAAGTTACCATGCTGAAGGTACATGGATTCCTTTCATCATGATTGCTTAACTCCCCGTTGGCTGTCCCAGAGAGGCCTTCTCATGTAGCTCAGCAATTCCTGTACCTTATAGACAGGAAAGTTCTGGAAGCTTTAAGAACAAATTCTGAAAGACCTATGAACAGTGGTGCTGAATACTTTTTTTTAAGCCACATTTCATTGTCTTAGTTAAAGCAGGATTAAGTGATTATTTTAAATTCATTTTTTATTAGCATCTTCAAGCATAACAACTTTTAAACTGGAATAAGTGTTTATTTTCTATTAATAAAATGAATTGTGACAAAAGTGGACTCTGGCTTCCCCTCCCCCACATCCCCTCCAGGATAAAATTTTCCAACATTGCCAGGAGCTTTCAGACACACATTAAATTAAAGAAAAAAATATAATGAAGTTAAGCAGCTGGAGTATAGGATAATATTTGATTTTCAAGATTGCCCAAAGCTCACTATTATACCAAAGCTGACAAAGTAGAATAAAAAGAAAAAAAAACCCAACCCATGTGCAAGGACAGACATTTGCTTGATCTGCTGGCTGAGGGCCAAATGTTTCATATGCTTTTTCGAAGTCAAAGTGTGATTCTGGGAAATTCATGCCACTAACCTAAAAGTCCACTGACAGTGAAAGTGTACATCAACTTCATCTTGCCCAGTAAGAGCTTATCCAACAGAAGCCAAGATAACATCTACAGGTGTTCTTTCTTTGCTTCTGACGGTCACCTGCATGGTCACTCCATCTGCTAAGGCCAGCCTGGACCTCACCAATAAATCATAGCCACCTCGGTAAATACCTGAGAAAAAAGTGAGGAAAACCATATTAAGAACTCAAAATAAGCTCTGAATAATGAGATTTATCATGTTTTCCCTTCATCTCCTTTCTGTTTAGCTTTTCTAGAGATTTGTGAGAATTGAATCCTACAAATAAATTCTAGATTTTATGTTCCATGAGACCAGGTACATAGAAGTTATTCAAAAGTACTCAAGAGGGGAGGATGGTATCTGTGGGAGAGATTTTCAGTACATGTTTTAGGCCAAATATATATCTTAAAAGAATAACCTAAGAATAGCAAAATAAATAATTCATTTTAACTGGGCTTCAAATTGTTACTCATAATGGGGTGATAGGACAATAGCAAGCCATGAGATGCCCATCCACATCCCTTCATATTAAATTTTGCAACGAAATATAAGGTAAATCTAATGGAAGTTTCTTACCTGCTAGATAGAGGGAATGGGAATTCTTATTCTCGGGTACTTTATCGGACCTTTCACATGGCTGCATGCCGAGATATGCGATGATGTTGTTGACAGCTTCTGTGTTGAGAAGATTGATTCAACAGTAGTAGTAAAGTTAAGCAAAGGCATCTGCCTCTGCACCAGGATGTGCTGGTGGCTGGGGAGTAGAAGGGGTTGGTGGTGGTGCACAGAGGGAGGCTAGTGGACTTGAAAATGGCTGATTTAATTAGATGATGAAGACAGGGTTCTGGCCTTTTAAGTAACTGACTTATGAAGTATTTTTTTAAAAAGGGAGTTCAAATTATCAGGTTTAATAGTGCTATCAGGAAGTATGATGATAGCAAAACTGTTCTCACCTTCTAGGGTTTTGGTAGAACTGAGAGCAAAGGTCTCCTCTTTTTCAAATGTATCTCCCACCTCTTCCCAGGCAGCAGCAAAGTTAGGCTTCAGTACCTTCTGAATGTGGTCAGACACAGTCACTTCGAGATCTTCCAGCTAGTAGTAGGCAACAAACAGGGGTCAGAAAGAAAAGTCCTGTTATAGGACAAAGCTAAAGGGAAAGCTAAATAATGGTTTTATCATTCTGTGTTACATTCCTGCAGAAGCATAGGAAAAACTCTACCACCAAGATAGTTTAAGTTCTGTAGTGTAGATAAATCTAATGCTATAGGTCTTAGCAAAAGAAGAAAACAGGACATCTGGCAAGAGCCAAATTCAGATGAACATCTGTAGCCCTGAGGTACAAAGCAATCATGTTGTCATCACACCTAATCACTGTGTTCAGGATGTACAGTACCCTCTGAACTTCATGCACTGATTTTCCCTCCATTCTGTGAAGGCTCTTTAGTCTGTGATATGGCTTTATTAAAAACAAACTAAACTTTTTGCTGAAGAAAAAAAAAAACCCAAAACAAAGCCAAAAAACCACTTTAAATAAAAGTGACCTCAATGAAAATAATGTAATTATTTTCAGCTCTTAGTTATCCCTATTATAAAGAAAAAAAGGGTCAGTTTGCTTTAATTAATTATGAAGTTGGTAAATCTGAATTCTCTTTGGCATGATGTAATCCCATTACAGAGGAGGATTGTTCCAGGTCTTTCTCAGTTGTAATCTGTTTGAGAAGAATAGAAACCCTGTAAGTTTATGTCAGATGATTCTAGAAAAATGTTCTCTCAAGGCAGAAGTCACTTAGTGTTGCAAAAGTGTCAAAGTCTCTCTGCTGGGAAGACTCACCACATACTCATCATCATACCCATCCTCATCTGGAACTCCAGTGTTAGGGTCACAGTCCCGGACTGTAAACTTCATGGTGCAGCTGAAAGTGCCTGCAACTGGAGGAGAAAGAATGAGCAAACCTGCGTCAGTGAGTAGCGCAGGCTACTTAGGAAGCATCATCTGTACTTGTCATTGTGTTCCACACATTCAAGTTAAAACATGCATGTTTTTTAGGGGAGTGGTTCTCAAAAGCAGCCTGACAGTGAATGGAAAAGGCAGTGTCACAAAGTATGATTTTAAAGTCTATTCTGCAATGTGGGTTAGAATAGCACAGAAGAGATGACATGGGCAAACTGTTTTTGTACAAGTATGAAGAAAGCGGCAGGGGAGGTACTTTTGGGGGCTTTTTGCCATACCTGTCAAAAGAGCCTATATGTTGGAAAATAAATGTGTTGAGAAAGAACTGCTCTAGGACCTGACAAAACATATTGATGGCAAAAAAGCATACAGGTCATCAAATTAACACTGAGCAAGCACATTAGAGTCTCAATACTATCTTTAGACTATGGACTGACAATGGGCCCACAGATCACCAGAATGAACTTGCTTTGTATCAACTTCCAACCTATAGTAAGTAGGTCAACAGTGAGAGTCTAGCATTAATAAAGTCTGTCTTAAAATGGAAAAGCAAGTGGGTAGTTGTATGTTTTGAGATGAGTGGTATAAGTAATAAAAAATTGAGGTGGGGGGACATTTTTCTGGAAAGTGAAGTTTTCATTAAGAAGATAGGATTTTCTGAACTGTTTGAAGGAGGGGATTTGGCGAGCATGGATGAAGAAAATGCATTTAAGTTCTAATCCATGGTCTGGAAAAAGCTTATAGGTACAAAAATATTAGAAATTAGGGAGTTACAAAGTTATTTGGGGGATAGGCAAGGAGAAGAAAGTATAGAGTCAGATGTAAAGACCATTATATGACAGGTTGAGCATCCCATCCATCCATCCATCCATCCATCCATCCATCCATCCATCCATCCATCCATCCATCCAAACATGTAGTGAATGTTTAATAGAGTGCTACGTGAGGGTGCAGGATTAACAGCCTGGGAAAATCATAAAAATGAAAGGATACAACAGTGTAACTGGATTGCAAAAGAGGGAAAAGAGCTTTGGCAAGTAGAGGAAGGTACACAGCAAAAGAAAAGAGGTCAGAAAGTCCATGGGAGTAGTTGGAAATAATAAAAGATGTGCTAATGCATAGGTGCTGAGAAGAGAATTTGTTTAGGAACAAATTGTTAAATAGGTTGTATTTCAAATGATTTTCCAACAGGTTTGAGGCAGTTGAGACTGAAAGGTTAGAAGCTAGATAAGACATGCCTAATTTAAGCCACTGGTGGGAATTTTATGAAGAATGGGTCTGAATTCAGAGAGCAGACGGATTGAATAGAATATGTTGAAAACAGATGATGGTGGTAGGTTGGACCACATAGGAAAGAGTATACCTATCAATGCTGCAGAATCTATTTCAGTGCTTTAAAGGGATTACGGTAAGAGTGGTTAAAGTAAGGTAGAGTTTTCTTCAGGGGGAAGGGGACAGAAGAAAGAAAGAAAGGTAACACAAAGCCAGAATAGGTCAGCTGAGGTATTTAAAAAGAATAGAGATGGGATTATGGTAGAGAAAAAGGTCATGCTCAAGTATGAAGAGTCAAGACAGACATTGAGTCATAGATTATTAGCCCAGCTTGGTTCAGATGAAGCAGGAAGGCTACAGCAAATGAGGAAGAGGAATGAGGAGAGACAGAGACAGGAATAATGGCAGATCGCAGACTGGGGCATACTGGCTGAATTTTATGTATAAGTAAAGACAAAACACACTTATGTATGTAATAAGTACCTGATACATAGAAACAGATTAAGGAAGTAAACAGGCGATGGTATTAGTAGAGTTAATGTTCCTCAAAGCTTTGTGGCAAGTTTTTAATTAAATGGTTTGATTGAGAAAATGAGAGGTTACAGGGAATCTATGGTGAACTCCAATAAAAACCATTGGTAGTAATACCTATCAAAGTTGCTAGACAGGATGATTAACATGGGTGATGAGGTATGAGGGGGCCTTTCTATGACAAGAGGACAATACTGACTCCATTGCCATAATATAAAGAGAACTACATGAACAAAGGCAGCACACAAAGGGAATAAGCGAAGAAAGCCCTGAAGGTTTACATTAAAATTGTTCTCAGAAATGGCTTATCTTGTGAGGACTGACTGAAAATGAGAGTCAGTCACTCAGGAGATCCTTAGTATGAAAAGAATCCGGATAAAGAAAAGATGGACTCTGGCAGCTAAGGCAGGGGAGAGGCGTGTGAGCTGGGCAGGGGTGCAGAACATGTAATGTGGCAAAGGGCAGAGTGGGAAATGTGGTAGGGAGTTGGGAGTTGCCAGGTCTCAACCACTGGGGAGAAACTGTGACTAAAGAAGAAATGGGGTTATGAGGAGATTCCAGAAAGCTTTGGTGGAATAATAAAGAAAAGGGTCTGTCAATATGGCAAAAGACTAAAAAGGGGGTAAAAGGGATGGATCTGTATACAGGCTAATTGCAGCAATCCATGTAGGTCTGAACTGAACTGAGAAGGAATGGATGCCACATAGTATGTAGGAAATCAAGGATGATGAAAGCGAGTTGAGCAGTGAGTGCTAAAAATGAGTATATACCCACCAAGAAAATATTGCTGAATTCATGGGAATGTTATCCAAATGGCAGGACAGATGTTGAAGGTAAGGTTTTTCCCTAAGACAAAAAGGCAACATTAAAGTTGCCCTCAGATGAAAAAGAGTTAGCCGCTAAGTAATGACAGACATCTGGAAGGGTAAGACAGCATTCCTAAAACAGAGAATGGAATCAAAGGAAAGAGAATATTGTGTGGTGGAGAGCCTATAGGCAAAGCAAGTATGGGCTAAAGGTTCAGAATAGGGAATTCTGTCAGCTCAAATGAGGTCTAACTGGTCATATTTTGGGTAAAAAAGCATGGAAAACACACAGAAAGGATGTGTGTTGCATGGAAAACACACAGAAAGGATGAGGAGCAAGGACTTCAGTAGGAGTGAGCAGTAGACTAGCTTTGGAGGGAAACTGCTAAGTAAAGGGACTTGGTTGATAGAAAAGTTTATAGACTGATTAAGATTAATGCTGATAAAAGAAAGCTATAGCCGGCAACTCTAGGGATATTAGGTTTGACTTATTAGAGAGGGTAAACAGGGAGTTTGTCCAGAGAATGAATTACTGCTACTAGATGAGGAATGGCTAAAGATTAGGAAGAGGAAGTACATGTGAAGGGAAGAATTCTGCATCCATTTCTTCTGTAGAGAGATGGTAAGTGAAAGGATGACAGTTAAGATACCATAGAGTATTGCACAGTGTGCCATTAACGTTGCTCTTAGAAAGAAGTTAGCCTGCTATGTGAGGACTGGCTAAAAGTAGCAGACATTTCCTAGGGAGACTTGCATGCAAATATCACAGGAGAGGATAAAGAAAAGAATATAGAGGCTGGAAGCTGGAAAATAAGATGATGTAGGATTTAGGCTGGGGTGCAGAATATAAAGTATGGGCAGGGAAGGGCATTAAAGAGGGCCAAAACTGAGGAACACTGGAAAATGGCAGAGTGGTACATGCAGTAGAGAGATGTGAGTTAAGCTAGATTATAACCAAAGAAAGAGAGAGACTTGAAGACAAAGTGGCTAAATAAGAATTGGTGTCATGAGGGAATGCCATCTGGGAATCTCTGCTTGAATAATGAAGCAAGAAGTGTAACCAATAGAGTAAAAGGTCAAGGAGTTGAAATGTGATAGATATGAGTCATGGCCAATGACAGGAACCCTATGAAGGTCTGGACTTGAGAGTGCAGGTGTATTCAGAACAGTGCAGAGGTGACAAGGAAGATGGAAGAAAAGACTACTGAATCCGTAAGAATAATAAAAAGACAGCAGTTGAAAAAACAAGTGACTGTGTAGGTAACATGGGTATTTCTCCAGGGTCAATCGGGGAAAAGGGCGGAAGAACCTGCAGAAGAGATGGGTCGTCTGAAGACTGGCAGAAATTGACAGGAGGGATAAGGCCAAACTACCAAAGATCATGGCTAAGTAAGAAAGAGGAGGGAGACGGGGAACTACGTAAAAGGAGAACATACGAAGAGTAGAAGCAGCTGGAGTAGTATGGGCAGATGAGGAAAATGTTTCCCAGAAATCCTGTTAAAATCTCATAATGTGGGTCTATTAGGTCAAATGTTAGGTTTTAATGCCAGACTTTGAAAAGCAGTGTATACAATGGGAGAAGAACAGGGGCCTGAAAAGTAATGGGAAGCTCTGGTGAGAAGTTTTAATTAGACAGATCAGAAGGAGATGGATTAAGATGAAGCCCGATACAAAGCCAGGCAAGCCAGCAACCTTAAGGACACCAGGATAGATCTTTGAGCAGTTTGTAGAATGGATGACTAATATTGGGGGATGACTGGCTGGAGATCATGCTGGGAACCCAACTGGAGAGTAAAACTTCATTTGTTATTTCCAGGTACAGATGACAGATGAAATTATACTGTATATAGTTAAAGTTATGAGAGGGTAAATCATCTCAAACAAATGAATATAATGTAAGCACTGCATTAAAGTTACTTGTAGAAGTTATTCTTCATATGAAGATTTTCTACAGATAATAGAGAGAGCCTGACTAGGAAGTGCTATCAGGAGGAGACTGAGTCCATTTGAATGAAACATAGATGGCAGCTAAAAGAAGAAGGGAGGTTGAAGATAAGGTAGCATGTTTCTTTACTGCAAGATAGGTAACAAGAAGAAAAGGAGTTAGAGATCAACCCCAGATGAAAAGGTCATTTGAAGAAGGGCAGGACTGACTGGAGGGAAAAGGCCCCATGTTTGGGCCAAACGACATGGAAGAAGAGGGGTTGAGGCCGGGCGCGGTGGCTCACGCCTGTAATCCTAGCACTCTGGGAGGCTGAGGCGGGTGGATTGCTCAAGGTCAGGAGTTCGAAATCAGCCTGAGCAAGAGTGAGATCCCGTCTCTACTAAAAATAGAAAAAAATTAATTGGTCAACTAAAAATATATAGAAAAA